CAGGGGAACGGGATGAATACGTTGGAGGACGGCTGTAGCTTCAGAGCATCTTCTCGCCTCAGATGGTTTCAGAAACACTTTTTAACTGAACCGTTCCATGGAAAGAAGTTTCCAAACAAGCTGCCATGTTGGTCCAGTTTGAAGTCAGTCAGCCCACAGGTGAAGCGCTCGTCCAATCAGGTGCAGCCAACGTTTGTATCACTGAACGAGGGCGGAGCCTCTGTTGGAGTTTAATCTAAACACATCTCTGAGGACATGAGCAGCAGAGCATTGTGGGAGTTTAGCAGCAGCGTGCATCATGATGGAGACCAATGCAGAGGTTCATGAGCTCCAGCTGACCTGCTGTGTTTCCAGGACAGGAGGAGACACCTGCAGGACTCCACAGCAGCAGCCTGCTGGAGCATCATGTGTCTGGCTTTAGTTAAATCCAATCAGGTTTATTGTCATGTGGCTGTGCATACAGCAGCAGCACAAGCATGGTGAGAGGATCCACAAACTAATTAGATAAACAAGTGTTTGCACATCTGGATCAGTGGTTCAGCGTTCTGACAGCTGGTGGAGTGAAGCTGCTCTATAATAATACTACATTTGTACAAGTTCTTATAGTTTTAAAGCCTTATTCTGCCCCAAACTGTGTGTAGTCCAACTTTTCCAGTGTTTGTGGGCAGTTCTTCTGTTTCCTTGTTAATGACAGTTCTATCCTCCCTCCACCACGACTCTCTGATGCTACAGCCGCCTTCTTCTTCTTCTTCTTCTTCACTGTGTGCCTTTAGCAGCAACGGCCTCCATGACAGACTTCTGTGACCCTTAATGACCTCCATGACCCTTAGTGACCTCCATGACCCTTAATGACCTCCATGACCCTTAATGACCTCCAGACTGACCTACTGCAGCATCGTGTGTCGTACAGGAGGCCATTCAGATACCTGCATTAACAGCCCCTACCTGACAGGTGCACAGCTTCACTTTACTCAAAATCCTCCTACTGAAGCGGTGATCGCTTTAAAGGATGATTTCACCCAAAGCTCTACAGAGCTCAGATCTATCATGTCTCCATGTTGGCTGGACAGTTAGCTTCCTGTGTTTTAATGACAGTTTTTGCCTCCTTGAAGCAGATGTTCCACTAAAACCCTATTTTAAAGGTAACTGCCTCCTTCTGCCAGCGCTGTGGGGGCAGAACCAGCACCGGGCTCCAGGACTCGGACCGGTGTGGCGCCTGACGCGCTCCAGCCTGAGCTCAGAACCAACAGAGCTGTCTGTGATAAATGCTGTGAAACAGCAGCACTGGTACCGGACAGAACCCCGCCGTGTTCAATTCATTAACTCAATCAGGTACTGATGGCGTCCACAGCGCCAGCGATCCAACCTGAGCTCCTCCAGAACACCAGTGGACGTGAACACCGGGTTTAGCTTCAACACCGATTCATTAAACGTCCCGTCACATTTCTCCACTTCCAGCTACGATAAGAGTCCAGAACCAGCGAGTTCCTGCACCGCCGGCGCCGCTGTGAGTCTGTGGACCGTCTCGATGTGTGTTTGCACTAATTGAACCGGGCCGGCTGTGTCTGCTGCTTCAAAGGCTGATCCAGGTTTACTCTGAGGACTGTTACCGACTCAGCTCTGACTGACGGCTGATTAGCAGCAGATTCACACTGAGAGGAGAGAATGTGAGCGCCGGATCACACGCCGTCTCCTCCCACCGTCCCACAGCCGCTATTTCTGGAGCAGGAGTGAAGAACTGTTCTGCTTTGATGTGTTATCAGGAAGACTTGAGCCTGAAACAACAGTCGTCTCTCCTTGTTTGTTCCGTGTTAAAGTGGCTGTTTGTGCTTAAGAGGCAGACGTGAACACGGGGATTACTTTATGAGGGGGAGGCTCGTTTGTTGGGTGTTGTGGAGAACACAGGTTCTGTAGCTTCACCACAGACGTGAATGAGATGAATGTGGAGCCGGGACAGAGAGGAGGCTAAACGCCGCGACGCTAACGAGGCTCGACGTTCAGCAGCTTCCTGGTTTAGTGTGCAAACACTGGCTAATTGGCACTCAGGAAAAAGTGCTAATTACACTTTAGTCCACAACAAAAGCGCTAATTAGAGGGTGTGAGTCTGGTGTTAGGACTTATTTCAGTTTGTTTTGCTCTGAGAGACTGAACGTTGGTTTCAGACACAGGTGTGAGGTTGACTCCAGAGCTGCTGAGCAGGTCACATGATTAAGTCCATCCATCATCTCTACACCTTCATCCTCACTATGGGGGGCGGAGCCTATCCCAGCTGACTCAGGGTGAAGGCAGGTTCACCTGGACAGGTAACCAGTCTATCACAGGGCTACACTTAGAGACAGACAACCAAGCACACTCACATTCACACCTACGGACAATTTACAATCACCAATTAACCTCAGCATGTTTCTGGACTGTGGGAGGAAGCCGGAGAACCCGGAGAGAACCCACGCTGCACGGGGAGAACATGGAGACTCCACGCAGAAAGATCCCGGGTGTCCTCACCGGGACGCCAACCGGCGACCTTCTAGCTGTGAGGCCACGGTGCTAACCACTGATCCACTATATGAGCAATACAAACACTGAACACTGGAGGAACTAAACTCATTCATCTGGAGACTCTGAACCACGTCACTGTGCAGGTTTGGTTCCTGCTCAAACAGAGAAACAACGTGCAGGAAACATAATGTATCATCAGAAAGCCTCAAACAGCTGAAGAGGCTGAAATGAATCAACATTTATCTGCACGTTCAGCGCTCGTCCCTCTGACTCTTTATTGTTATTTACAAACCACATAAACTCTGGTTGTGTTCGTGTGATCTTCCTCCAGTTACCACCAGCTGATATCATGTCCGTCGCTCTGCAGGGCGTCCAGGATTTAATCTGATCTTGTTTTTCCTTTTTCACTCCCTGGTCTTTGAAAAATGTTCAGAACCGCAGCAGCAGCTTCATGATTCAGAGTCCAGAGCTCCGACCAAAGCAGCTGAACAGTTTAGTTTGGTTTGAATCCTCTCGTTCTGCTTCACCGCTGCTTTGGTGTTTGACTTCAGAACCCTTTGCAGCTTCATAACGGTACGAGCTGCCTGGTTAGACCACACAGAGGGTGAAGGCTTGGTGGAGGCCGGAGCAGAGGGACAAGCTGCTGGATGTCTGTTCTGATAACGAGACACCAACCACAGCTACCTGCTCTGTCGGCCATGAAACTGTCAAAGAAGATAAAAACTGATATTCAGACCATTTAAGAAGCCTGATCCTGACCCAAACCCTGAACTCTCCGGTGTGCAGGTGGTTGCTTCTGCAGTAACGTGGATTCTGGAAACTGAGAGATGAGCAGCAATCCTGTCATCTACAACATTCAAGTTAAATGCTAATATTGTTCATGAGACACTGATGTAACTGTGGAGAGGATCCAGAACGGCCAGAGAGTCCTGATCACGGTCAGAACATCTGGTCCTCCCTGCCTTCACAATAAAATCATGTGGAGGTAAAGATGGATGCACCCTCACACTGAACCAGTCGACACAAAAACCTCCAACGATGGAGCCGAACCGCCGACAGCGTTAAAGTTTAAATCTCCTGTTTGTTCATGTGTGAGTGTCTCTGTTTGAACTACAGCTCAGTCATCAAACTCACAGACTGAACCGACGGCTGCAGGCAGTGGCGCCCCCATGTGGCCACAGGAAGCATCTGACAGACATGATGGACACGTTTCTCCATGAAGACAGAGCTGGAGGACGTGACCAGTGAGCTTTTAGGAAACTAAACCGGCGTTCATCCATTTCTGGACTGAACAAGCAGCAGCAGCTGAGCGGCGGTGCTCGGTTCAGGTCTTACCCGGGTCAGCTCCGACTCGGACACGGACCGGTGCGGCGGCGAGCGGCGCTGGTACACGGGCGGGCTGACGTCCTGGTAGCCCGGGCTGTCGTCGTCCAGCAGCACGGCGCCGGCCTCCACCGCCTCCTCCTCCTCCTCCAGCTGCGACGTCACGTCCTCGGGGCACATCTGGTGGTCGATGCCATTCTGGCTCAGGTTGCAGTGAACAGCTGGAAGGGCAGAGGACAGGAGTCAGAACCGGGTCGCACTAATTCAGACATCAGCAGGAGCACCAGGGCTGGACTCATGGAGCTCATGGGCTCCAACATAAACGGGTTTAAATGTGTTCACATCCCAGACCAGGGACACATCATCTCACTGTTAACATCCACAGATGTTTCTGGTCTGAGGGCCTTCAGACTCCTCACTGATCATTCTCCTCCACATATGTGTGACTGTTCCCAGAACAAATGCTAGAAGTCAGAAGCTCCACCAGATGGCAGCAGACAGCCACAGATGAAGCCGACCCGTTGGTTTACTACAGTGTCCAATAAGTCACGCAGTAAACCACCAAACACACCGACTCCCTGTTTGAAGGCATCAATGAGAACCAACCTGTGATTCTGATCAGTACCAAACACCTCAGATTTCTTTCTGCAGCATCATGAGGAGGAAAGACCAGCTGACTCTCCTCAGACTGGTCTCTGCTTCATCAAGACCGTCTGGAGTCACATGATCAGTGAACTGAGGAACGTCTCACCTGTCAGGTGACATAAAAACTGGATGTGAAGGA